TTGCGAGGCCAACGCCATCTTGGTAGCCATTGCGCGACATGTTTTTTTGCCGGGCAGCCTTCCTGTTGTTGTGCATTTGAGTTTGCTTGAAGCACCTTGCGCGGTCCTTGACGTTCGTCCGTTTCCCGTTGGTTGCATTTGCCAACATGGGCGCGTGTGGGGTCGAGTGGGCAGTCTTCGCCGCTCTCTGCCGCAGCCCTCCGCGTCGTCCTTCAACCTTGCACACTGGCGCGGCGATACCTTCTGCGGGCAGGATTCCACGCGCTGCACTGCTGCTAGGGCTAGGGCGCGAGGGGAAACACAAATCTGATTCCTTCCAGGACTATTGGCATTCTCGCTCCTACTTTTACTTTCGCTCTCATTCGCTTCCTTCTCTTTCGCCTCCCATTCCGCCTTATCGTCCCTGGCATCCTTATCCTCATCCAGCTCTCGTTCCTGTCTTTCCCTCGTCGCGATCAACGGGGCCCGCAGACAAATGCAGTGGCGGGGGGAGCTTGGACCTTTCTGTTTTTTCAGGACGTCGGTCGCGGTGCCAGCGTCGGATGTCCAGGCCGGGGGGGCCAGACACCAGGCCGCCTGGCTGCGTGGATGCAGCGACGTTCCGGCCCTTTCTGGGCGGATGCAGGCCGCCCGCAGGGTTTCGAAGACAATCGCGATTCGCACTTCTGGGTCTACGGGCGGCACGGGGGAGCGAAGATCACTGCACCTTTCGCAGGGCGAGGCGTGAAGTCTGGTGACATGCGTGGCCTTCCTCGTCATCGTCCTCCTCGCCCCTCCCAGCTAGGCCGTGTTCTCTCCCTCTTTGCTTTTTTCCCGGAGTCGCGCTGGGCGATGAATCGCCCGGTTAGGGTGCGTCTGGTAGCCTGGCCCCCACTGTTGGCCCCGCGATCGGGGTGGGGCCGCCGTGCAGGCGGACGGACAGGCGGCCATGCAGTCTGCCGCAACGAAGCCATACATGGGCCATACATGAGGAGGAGCACAACGAGGAAGAGGAGGAGGAGGAGGAGGAGGAGGAGGAGGAGGTCGATGTCGATGATGAGGAGGACGAGAGGGGGGTGACGTTGGCTGCCCGTTTCGAGACTTCCCCGGCGGCTTTCCCCGAATCCCCGATTGAATGCGCTCCAGAAGAGGCCCGGGGGCGATGTTTTGACACCCCGCACATGTTTCGTGGCCCCATAGGAAGCTCCGCCGAAGGCCCCAGTGCTGCCGCCCGCGTGCGTCACGCACACCCAATTCGGCACACCCCTCACACGTTTCGTGGCCCCATAGGGGGCTCCGCCGAAGGCCCCAGTGCTGCCGCCCGCATGCGTCACGCACGCCCAATTCGGCACACCCCTCACACGTTTCGTGGCCCCATAGGGAGCTCCGCGAAGGCCCCAGTGCTGCCGCCCGCATGCGTCACGCACACCCAATTCGGCACACCCTCACACGCTTCGCCCCATAGGAGCTCCGCCGAAGGCCCCAGCGCTGCCGCCCGCATGCGCCAATTCGGCACACCCCTCACACGTTTCGTGGCCCCATAGGGGCTCCGCCGAAGGCCCAGTGCTGCCGCCCGCATGCGTCACGCACACCCAATTCGGCACACCCCTCACACGCTTCGTGGCCCCATAGGGAGCTCCGCCGAAGGCCCCAGTGCTGCCGCCCGCATGCGTCACGCACACCCAATTCGGCACACCCCTCACACGTTTCGTGGCCCCATAGGGAGCTCCGCCGAAGGCCCCAGCGCTGCCGCCCGCATGCGTCACGCACACCCAATTCGGCACACCCCTCACACGTTTCGTGGCCCCATAGGGAGCTCCGCCGAAGCCCCCAGTGTTGCCGCCCGCATGCGTCACACGCACACCCAATTCGGCACACCCCTGACACGTTTCGTGGCCCCATAAGAAGCTCCGCCGAAGGCCCCAGGGCTGCCGCCCACATGCGTCACGCACACCTAATTCGGCACACCCCGCACACGCTTCGTGGCCCCATAGGGAGCTCCGCCGAAGGCCCCAGCGCTGCCGCCCGCATGCGACACGCACACCCAATTCGGCACACCCCTCACACGTTTCGTGGCCCCATAGGAAGCTCCGCCGAAGGCCCCAGCGCTGCCGGCCGCATGCGTCACGCACACCCAATTCGGCACACCCCTCACACGCTTCGTGGCCCCATAGGGAGCTCCGCCGAAGGCCTCAGCGCTGCCGCCCGCATGCGTCCCGCACACCCATTTCGGCACACCCCTCACACGCTTTGTGGCCCCATAGGGAGCTCCACCGAGGGCCCCAGCGGCCGCGCTCACATGCGTCCCCTCCACCCATCCCGGCACGCTCCTCACAACAACAGGTTTCGTGGCCCCATAGGGAGCTCCACCGAAGGCCCCAGTGGCACCGCCCGCATGCGTCACCACCCGCACCTAATTCGGCACACCCCTCACACGTTTCGTGGCCTCGTAGGGAGCTGCACCGGAGGCCCCAGTGGCGGCGCTCACAGTAAACCCCTCGCGCGCTTCGTGGCTCCATAG